CCCCTGTAGGCTCTGTTCTATTTTGTTTGGTCGGGAGAGAATTACTCTCGCGGCTAATTCAGTTCCGCTTACGATCATTTTGCTGAGCTGGGCAGAGCGCTAGGTGCCCGCGGAGAGCACGGATCGTGGGTGATGAGGAGGCAAGAGCGGGGCTCCCTGCGCTGCACACCGCGCGTCCCTTCCCACCGTGAGGATCAGAGCTGAGCACTTACTAGGCGCCCCGCATCCACGCGTCTGTCCACCCCGCTTAAAATTATCCATTTCTGATTCTGGCGGCGCGTACTGGGGATTGAATTTGGGACTTTGAGCTTGTGAGAGGCAGGTGGCAGAACCACTGAGCTAAATTCCTGAACCTCCATTTCTGAATTCTCATAAAACTTGGCAACTAAAAGCACTGACATCATTTGCTATTTCTGCAAATCATTTTCAAAATAATATAGCAAAATATTTCCTTAAATGATAACTAACATGGGAAAAGGCATGGCCTTCTTTTCTTCTGCGACTAAGCTGGGGTCTCCACGTGCTAGGGAAGCAATATATTCTGAAAGAGTGGTTTTGCAGATTGTTTACTGACTATGCAAACCATTTTCAAGCCTATTATGTAGGACAGGTCATTCTGGGCCTTGCTGTTACTTCAGCAACCATCAGCAAAATCCCTAAGTCGTGGTGTTATGAAAACCTGGTAGAGAGAGAGAGAGAGAGAGAGAGAGAGAGAGAGAGAGAGAGAGAGAGAGAGCAGCTGTGCGTCAGGAGCTCCTGGATCACACGGCGAGAGAGGTGATGAGGCACGAACATGCAGGGAGTGTGTGTTTGCCTGCGAAGGAAGTCATGTACAGCAGGGTGGCTCCTGTGAGTCTGGAGGAGGTGAGGGGTCAGCAGCAATGGGAACATCTACAAAGCCTGCTCTTGGGTGAGAAGGCAGCAGGCATCCTGCGGTGCTGATGGGAGGAGATTCAGGGCCTGTGTAGTGGGGAAGAGTGGGAGACAGAGCCATGCAGATCCAGCCGGAGGGCCAGACAGGGATGTTGGGTGGGCTGGGAGAGTGGCCAGACCCCGGGGCCTCCTAGGCTATGTCTGGGACCCCAGCTGCGGCTGTGGCGGATAAGAACTCAAGGAGGACTGAGGGCTCCATGTGACTTGACTGGTCCATGGTGAGCGGAACAGAAGCAGACACAGCGGGAGAGACCGGGGGAGAGGTGGCCAGCACCTGTACTCCAGCAGGTGGCTCAGGACCAATGCCAGCCTGACACGGCAGGTGCCAGTAGAAGGATTCATTTTCTTTTATTTTTTTCCTAGTCCAGTTGATATTTTCCTAGCCCTTACATTGTTAATTTTCAGATTAATACACAGTGGTACCACGGTTCATGAATTTAATTCTTTCCACAATTCTGGCCAAGAACCAAATCAAATTCAGTGGTTAGGTTCAATGCTGACCTTATGGGGGGGATTTTATTTGGTTCTTGTCCAATTCAGTTTGTGAACACAATCATGGAAAGTATCCTGTCTCGGAAAAAAAAGAATTCATGAACTGAGGTACCACTGTATTTTTAATTTTTGAATAACGTGCTTCCGAGCTGAAGATTTTAAAATAGGAAAAGGTTTGCAGTGAAAAGTCTCACTATTAACCTTGGTGTCCAGGGAAACCGGTTCATAGGACTCCACGAAACCCCATTCTGAGGCACTTTGGTTTCTTGTAGAATCTTTCAGTTTCTTTAAGAAATCCTCAGCAGATAAATTTCAACTCCCTCCCACGCTCCTTTACACCAAAGGCGCATGGGCATTTCTCCACCCCTGAGTACACGGACATCCCCTGGTACCAGCCGATGCTTTCACAATATCGATGAATGTACAATAGCTTATCCGACTCCTCACCCATGGACGGTCGTCCAGGTTGTTTTCTAACCCACATTACCATGCATGCCTCTGAGCAAGTATGACAGAAGATTTAAAACAACTGAATAAATACATACTGGGGAGAAACTTGAAAGGTGTAATGGAGGGCACATCTCCGAAGGGTCAGCAGAGCCAGGGCCCTAGGTCACCTCAGTGCCCCTTCAGCGGGGTCACAGTCCTTGCCTACCACATCCTGCCACCCACCTCCTGGCCAGGGTCCCCTGAGAGCTCTTCCCGAGAAGCCCTCTAAAGGAAGTTTTGTGTCTCATGTGATGTTTCCAGAGAACAAGTTGAGACAAACATGTAAATGAATTAAATCTGGAGTTGGTAAAACTAAGATCAGCCCATCACAGCACTGGTAATTTTTGTTACCATTTAAGAGAGTGCATTTTAATTAAACGCTGTATTTAAATAGTGTATTTAATTGTGTGTGTGCCGGAGTTCTCAGAATCAAACCTAAGGGCTCTGTCACTAAGCTAAATCCCTGGCCCCATTCTTCTTGTATTTGGATCCCCTTAAGTTGCTCAGGCAGGATTTGAACTTGGGATCTTCCCACATTAGTCTTTCCAAATGCTGGTGTTACATCGTACCTGGTTTTTTACATTGCTTTTTGGAGGGTCTGAAAACACTCTTGCTTTTCCTTGATATTTCTGGTGTGGTTAGCTCAGGTGTAATTTATGATTTTTACCGAGTCATTCTAGGGACACAGGACGAACACACAGTGGCGTCACAACCACCCCAGTCATGACACAGAGCAGTCTCCTCACCCACAAGCTTCCTTCGTGTTCCTCTAGCAAGTTACCTGCATCTACTGCCCATTACACATGCTTCCCTGGGTTTAGAATTACTGGGATTATAAAGAATTTTCAATATTCTGAGCATCAGTACTTTACGGCACACTTTGCAAATATGTTCTGCCTATCGGAAGCTTATCTCTTATTTTCCCAAGTGTTCTTTGGAAGAGCTTTCCTACCATTTTTAAAAACTAAGTCCTTATAACCAAGAGGCTTGACATAAGCACGTCAAAGACACCGGAGTTGCCATTTCCGTTGCAGGCCTGTGCGTCGTGGCCTCGGAAGGGAATCCCCTGAGCGCCGGCCACTGGGTGAGCAGCTGAGTGGGCTACACACGCAGCGGAACACTACCGGCCACTAACAAGGGCGACATCTCGTCGTTGCGACAACACAGATGAACTTGCAGGACGCTGCTGAGTGAAACAAGCCAGGCACAGCTGGGGAAGGCTCTGTACTGTGTCCCTCACCTGTGCCTCTCAGGGAGGCAGGCAGGAGGCGGATGGGCAGGAGGGGACCACGGCTCCCTCAACAAGGGGAACAAATTTTCAATCTACTGGGCAGACGGCGGTCACAGTCAACTGCAAGGTGCTGTGTGTTTCCAAATGGGAAAGAGACTTTAAAATGTCTCACTGTCCTCCGAGAAGCTTAGCATGGGAAGCCACAGACATGCCAATCACGTGGGTATAAGCATGTCACCGTGCATGCGCATTATTACAGCCACGGTGTTCCCCCAAATGACATAAAATAATTAACTTGTCTAAACTAAAAATTTAAAAAACCAATTAAAAATATTTAAATTTTTTAAGTGCCTGCTCCAATTTTTCACTGTATCATCTACATACCATTGGTATGTTCCTAAGAGGTAGTAACATAAAATAGGTGTACACGTGGACAGTTTTAGTTCGCGACACAACTTCACAGGAGAAGAGCCACGGAGGAGAAAATGACCGGTTTCTCCCACTGCAAACTCCCTGCAGTCTGGTCATGCAGGATGACAGATTCTTCAGATTTGCAACCATGAATGCAAGCGAAATGGGCATTGGCTCTAACTCCTGTGTCTGAGTTTTAAGGCATTTTCATTGCTTCTTAATTTTCAGGTAATATTGTTTTGTTTCTCTTAGGCCTTTAAAGAAATAAAAACTGAGGCTTGAGCTGACATTTGATGGAGAAACAGAGGGAAGCTCAGAAAACCCTCCCCCATTATATTCAGAATGTGACAGACTGTACACAGAGTATGGTAACAAAATCAACAGCGTCAGTCAACAAAGCAGAGGGCTATGAGAGAAGGACAAGGTGTAATGGTCGCCAGGGCAAAGGGGGTGACTCTGGGGTGGGCTTTGGCCTGACTCTGAGCCCCAAATCTGTACATAAACAGTCTGAGTGGATACTACGCTTCGTTTCCTCATCAGCATGGAAAGTGTCAGAGATCTATGCTGGGGAGAAGGGACTGAATCATGAACGGTGGGTCTGACACATTTGGAAAAGAGTCCCAAGGAAAACCACCTGAAGTCCTCTGGGTTCTGTAAGTAGAGTGGGACGCACGTCCATGGTTGAGAAAGAGAACCTGATAAAGGACTGATTGAAAACCCTCTTTATGATGGAAACACTCAAGTGTATTCTACAAAGGAAAGAAAAGGCCAATGCACCAAGCACTTATTACCCAGATGGTATGCCACTTTGCCAGGGCTGCGAGGCCCCATCCCAGCTGCCTCCAGCCCTGCCTCTCTTCCTACTTGGAGCTGGGGAAGGTGTCTTCCAAGTGCCTGTCGCCTTCTGTAGCCCAGGCAGGCCTATTACAGAGCAAGTATTCAACGGTGTTTGCCAAATGAGTCAATGAATCAATGAATGAATCGATCTCCGTTTAGCCAGCTCTTCTACTTCCCAGAAAACGAGTCTGCCTTTAGCAAAAGAAGGACAATGTAGTGATGCATATGATGCCAGGAATATTAGGCAAAGAACAACATTGCATAGAAACACCTTCAAGGTCAGGCTTTTCAAAAATAATTGAGATTGATGTTGCCATGGATTCTCCTGAAAGGAGGAAGAGAATCCTGCTAGTGGAGGCTTCTCTTAAGAGCAGGGACTGAAGGGTCTGGACATAGGTCCACAGCATGGCTGCTGCCAAGATATCAGCCCTAAGACAAAGGGCCTTGTACCAATGTCAGGTCCATGCTGATGCAAGTTTGCCTGCTCTAGTGTTGAATTTCATGTGTTAAAATCTAGTGTGAATACGGAGTGCGTGCACACACGTTTGTGTGTAGACATAAAGTAAACATGAACATACATGAACATACATGATCACTTTATTTTTGCCATTTATTTCCCAGGTGCCTCCGAGGCTGGCTTCATTAATGTGGGGCAAGGTGAATCTTTTCATAATATAGCTGTGTGGAGATGTGAACATACGGTATTAGCACTTCTAATTTCAATTTAAATATAATTTAGTAAATCATCTAGATATTTAATTTACACTATACTAGATAGCTAAGTATTTTGAACTATGTTAAAAAAATCATCGCCATTATTAAAAAGCACCAGTATTAAGAATATGTTTTCTTCTAAGACAAATACTAATATTTGGAAGCAAATGGAATTAGAATGATATGTAAATATTCAGAAGAAACTCTACTTATGGGGAAATTAATAGAAGAAAAGCATGAGGCATCTGTAAAGGAGGAAATTTTAAAAAGCTAATATAGAAATGTGACATTTATACATAGCGGAGTACTGCTGTGCTACAAAAAAAGGACGAATCTGAGTCACTTGTAGGAAAATAGATGAGACTTGAAGACTGAATTGTTAAGTGAAATAAAGCAGACACATAAGCTTGATTTTCACACAGTTTGCCCTATGAGAGGCCCAAAGTATAAATAAATTAAAGAGCAAAATAAAAGACAAGAGAAAACAGCGAGACAGGTTTTTTGCAAATGGGAAGGGAACGAAGAGATGGAGGGGAGGTGAGGGAGGAGGAAGCAGGGGACTCAGAAAGAACTCAGCTGTGCTCCTCAGGGTGCCTGCAGTCATTACGTCCCGCAATCCTGGACTGATGAAAATAAGGCTGGAAAATTTAACGACAGCTGAGGTCATCTGCCCTTTTCATTTTCACCATAATGACCGAAACACTTCAGGGACTTCAATATGTGTATGGTGGCAATATTCCTTTAAAAATATAAATTTTACCTGATTCTATTTCACGGGAAGGAAAAAATACAAAATACTTTACATTTCTTCAAAAAGTAGTCAGGTGGTGGTGATTTCTACCTCTAGGATGGAACTGTATACGGTGAGACTGAGTAGAAATCTGACCTGTCTGCATAAGGTAAAAATACGCATTTTCCATTACATGTTCCTAGCATATTACTTCAGCTCTCATGTGTCTGCAAATTACACCAGGCCATGAATCTTCAGAGAACTGCATCGTGATGCCAGCTCTTGCCCTGGCAGAGGCGGGCGAAAGGGTTACCTGGGGTGGAAAGGAAACCGATGGGGCAGAGGCCAGCGGCAGATTTGCAGGATGCTTGAGATGTAGACCTGACTGGACTTTGTGATAAGCATGAGAGGCTGCGGGCAAACAGGAAGTCAGGGCGCCACGCATTTCCGGTTAAACAAATGGAAGCATAGATGTGCATAAGCCAGACAGGTGGCGAAGGGGCAGGAATCAGATGTTAAATTCTAAGCCAACCTTGTGCTCACAATAATACAAATCCAACCTGACCATGCTGATGCCGTGTTAGTTTCTTTTCACTTCCATTTTTAACTGACTTCATGATACCCTTTCCTCTATCCACGACAGCAGAACTGCAGTACAGTCTCCTGAAGCCCTTTCCCGGTGAGGCCTGTACACTACAGGGATTCTCAAATGTCCAATAGGACTGGAGGTTGTTAAGGAGCCAGGTCCCAGGCCATGCAGGCACCAAGAGTTTCTGCAGTGGCTGGAGAAGGAAAACATTCATCATTCTCTAAAAGACAGTGTTCAACTCAGGAAAAATCCAACTCAAACACTCCAGCTAATTACCAAAGCTCAACATTGACAAAAATTATCTGTCGTTTTTTGGAATCTTTCTTTTCTACATAATAAAACGTAAATTTCATAGCTTTCTATTACAATTCTCCTTAACAAAATTCAAACGTAGTTTTGCCCTGGCTGTGCTTCCTGTACTCCAAGGCCTCGCCATGAATAGTATGATAAATTAATAGACATTCTTGACATCACCTGTAAACTTGCTGAAATCATAAACTCTTGGGGCCTTATCCCAGACCTACTGAATCACCCAGAAATCTGCATTTTAGTGGGAGTCCCATAGGACAGAGCTCTAAAGAAAAATTCTCTGCTGCACCCGTTCACCTCTCATTCCATGTCTTCCTATATCCTGTTTCTCTGCTCGAAATCCTATTCCTTCCACAGAAAAAGTCCAAATTCTGCCTATTAGAATTGTCACAAATCAAGTTTTTTCAAGTCATTATGAATTAGGCATTTTCCATTTAGACTTTAACTGGTTATCTTTACTACAGAAGAAGTTTGAGAAGTGGTAAAGCTTGTTGTTAAACTAATAAGTTGCTTTATTTAACATTTCTTCAGCGTAGCTCTTATTTTCTGGTGCATAATCATACAATTTTCACAATGAGAAAGCTTTTGATTTTCTTCTAAATTTATATATGTGTGTGCACATGCACACACACATGCTCAATAGATCTCTTATTTCTACTTCTAGACAGTTATTAAAGGATTTATACCCCACTGATATGTGCACCCCACATGTCTCATACAAAGATAAGTCTCAATAAATAAACAGCCCAGCAAATCCACAAACAAACAGTACATGCAGATCTAGCACTGTTAGGGCTCCCAGCTCCTACCTGTGAGGTCTCAGTGAGTCAGTACCAGTGACCCCCAAAGCATTTCTGTTGTGAATTTCATCAGTGAGGCACACATCCAGTGGCACAGATAGAAAACAGGGGTAGTGTGCAAAACAAAATGCTTCTTGATAATGATGGTGATTCCATTCCTAGCACAGCCCAGAAGAAAAGAGTCAAACAAAACAGGACAGTGAGTTATGCAATGTATCGGGACCATTTACAATGTTAGTTATCAGCAAAACTGAACAAAATCTGTCATCTTAATCCAGGAAAACATTGATTCTGAAGACCCCTTCCTTCCATCTGTGACTCCTCCCTCCCCTCTCAGGAAGATGCTGCCATTTATTGATGTCATTTTAGTCATCAACACGCTCCTCATTTAATTCCCACAACAGCCCCACCAACGAGGCATCATTATCTTTGCAGTGAGGAATGGACATTCACAGAGTTCGAATAATCAGCTCAGTATCTGCTGGGGAAGATGGTGTATTTAGGAGTTCTCCCAAACGCTCACAGAATAAAGCCTCATTCCATGGCCCTCACAAATCTTCAAAATTGGAGAAAAAGACAATATTCTCCGTTCCTTAGCCCTCATGTAAAGTGCAGTAAAAGTGTGTCATACCCGTTCTCCTGCCAAGAGTGCACCCTTTGTGAGGCAATAAATTGGATGGTCAGTGAGTCAGGCCTGGAGTAAAACATGTCACCAAATTTCATAATACGTACTGAGACAAATGCTAAATTCCAAAGCTTCGTGGTCTTTTTATTAAGGTTCACAATTCAGAGTCACTAGGACCTAAACAAGTATAAACATGGATATTATCTATAGAACACAGAGATGGCTCCAAGGCTTGCTACTAAAAATCCACAACACACTGGACTTCCCTATGAATATCGCTCGTCCCATGGTACATTCTTCTAAGTAGAACAGTAGCTTAAAGCATAAAAAGCACCGAGCATTCACCTCGATCAACAAACTGGGAATATAGTTTTATCAAAACTGACCTCACGCATTACTTTAAATATTAGAGCTCCCTTCCCTTTACTTTTATTCCTGAGCGTTTCCTTGGGGATTTTTGTTGTCAGGATTAATGTGCTTGTACAGCTGCTAGATATCAAAAGCACCTCTGAAAGTGCTATGACAATACTTCCCGGCATCTTCCCCACTTCATCTTACCCACCAGGAGGGAGAGGAAATGTGCCTGCGAGCAGTGACATCCTCCTGAGGGACTACGCAGGGGTTTCCAGTAGGGCCAGGGTGGACTTCCTGTGTATGTGGTTGCTCAGCAACCACTGCTCAGACAGGGTCCCGCCTGGCTCATTGCTCTCATGCGGTCATTCTGAAGTCCTTACAACTGATCTGTGCATGTTGTAGATGGAGCCGGGGGGCATGAGGGGAGGTTGTCATCATCCATTCTTTGCTGCCCCATTCACTCAGAGGCACAGAATTTTGGTGATGCCACAATGGGTAGGAATTCAGCAAGATTCAGAGTGAGTAAAAGGTAGCCTGTTACATCACTGTCCATGCTGGCGCTCCAGGTTGTGGGCACTTTTCTCATGCATGGGATGATGCTTTGGATGCAGAAAGAGCACAGTGATGTTCTAAGAAACAAGGAGACAATGTGTCACTTAATCTCAGTTGTCAACTTGATGGGGATAATGGACTCCTGGAGGGGTGTTGGATCACCTGGGGCAGGAGGCTCATAAGTGGCTCAACCCACTTGTGCTTGTGGCTCAATGTGATGTCAGGATGTGCGGCCCCTCAGAGAAGGTGGGTCACTTGGAGTGACACTTCAGAGGGTCTCTGCTATTCTTTCTTGGTCTGTGTCTCTGTCTCTCTGCCTTTCTGTCTCTCCATGTCTGTGTCTCTCTCTGTGCCTCTGTCTCTGGTTCTCTGACCTGTGCTATGCTTTCTGTTCTCGGCGGAGTGAAGAGTTTGCTCCACCATTCCCTTCTGCCATGATGTTTCTGCGTTGGAGCCAGTTGACCATGGACTGAATCCTCCGAAATCACGACTCACATAAGCCATTTCTTTCTTTAAGCTATGCAAGTCAGGAATCCTGTGTCAGTAACAGGAGAGCTGACCCACACAGGCAAGCACATTTTCATAGTCTTTCTTGATTATGGCCTCCTTTCAGTAGCAATCATTTGTGCTGAAAATAATAATACAACAGGAAACAAAAGACAGAGCTCCTGCTCTCATTTCCTTCCACTTCGTCCTTACTCATCAGTAAGACAAAGGTAAATATTATGAGTAGAATATTCATATATCAAGAAGTGAAATGAAGACAGTCGAGTGACTTTGTGCCGTGTTTCCACTGTTCTGGTAAGAATAAAATACACGTGCATGTATAGCACTAGAGAAAATGGACTGTATAATTTTAGTACTTCTATACACACAGAAATATGCCTTCACTTGGGTTTAAAGGTGGCATTGCACAGTGTAAAGATGGATGGAAAAATTCATATTCATAAAATAAAATTCAGGCTTTATTTAGAAAGCTATTAAACAATATAAGGAAAACCCTTATGAGAAGTCAAAGAGAGACTGTGGGAGAAAGTATGAAAGAATAATTTCTTAGTATCTCCAGTGGTACAGTTTTCTCCTCCTTTTTGAACAGAGAGCACTGCATCTTTCTTTGAACTGGACAGGTTAATGTAGCTGACTTTGGGTATGACTACCTTACATGGGATTCGTGTATGTGTGTGTGTGTATACTGTTTTCACAGAGAAATATATAGGGTTTTAAAAGAGTTTTCATTATAATCATCTGAGTGTTGCAAGGCCAATGGAAACTGGCTCTCTCTTGTATACTGGCCAAAGAGAGGAAAAGGAAGAGGATTGCTATGAGAAATAAGTCTCATTGAGCCAGGGATTTAGCTCAGTGGTTCAGTGGCCTGCCTTGAGAGCGCAAGGACCCAAGTTCAATCCCCGGTACCAAAAAAAAAAAAAAAAAAAAAAAAAAAGAAATAAGTCTCACTTTTAACTGCTCAAGTGAAAAATCCTTCTTTTTTCCCATCAGGAATGAGTGCTCTCATTAGCACTGGAAAAGGTCATTTCTTAAATGCTATTCAGATGGTTGAGAAGTTAAAATGACCCCTGGAAACTGAGTCATTTATCCTTTCCTCAGTCACAAGACAGACCTCAAATGCATTGCAAACTCTACTAAAAAAAAATGTGCACTAGCAAACTGTGGACAAAAAGTTTTCCGCGGGATTCCAGTTTTACTAGTTTGCTGAAGATTTACAAGAAAATCTGAAAAGCTTCTATATTGTTCTATCCTATTAAAAGTCTATCAGAAATGAGATAAATAGACCTTTTCTGTATGTTTTGAAAAGCTGAGTGTTCTAGTATGTCAATTTTGTTACTGAGTTGTAAGAAATCTTTATTTAGTAATTGTTCTCATAAGCAATTGTAAGCACAACAGCTGTTTCAGAACTGTCGTGCATTTTAATGCATATACAGGGTATTTTAAAAGAAGAAGGCCCCGTCCCTACCTGCTCCAACCTGGCTGCCAAAGTGGGGCACAGGCTCTGCTGCCTTCACCCAGCGGCCTTGCTGTGTGCACAGGGTTGAATTCTGTTACCTCACTGTGTGTTTCTCCCGTGGGAACGCTTTCTACAAAATGGATATTAAATTAATATCCGTCCTCCTCCTCAGCCAGCACTGATATGCTGTCAGTGTTGTTTTAAAGATTTAATTTTATCTACAGCATTCAAATGCAAGAGATCAGAAAAAAGAAACTGGGAATCTTATACAAATATTATCCTTTTAAATTTAAAGATTTCAGTATATGTATATATTTTTACATGATCAAATTGTGCCCTGCCCTCCTATGGCTGCAATAGTTTAAGTGGTTTTAAAGTTATCATATTTATCCCATAGTTTTCAATAATATTCTTATTTTTGCTGCTTTTTTACTTTTGGACTGAAGGCTTTCTCTCAGGCAAATCTACCTTCTAGCACTATCCAGTTTGACTGGTGATCATGTATAGTTTCCTCTTCCCAATCTTCTGGGCATAAAGGAATCAGGAGTTATAGTTATCAGCTGATTTTTATATCAACATAACTAGAGTTCAATATAGAGCCAAGTAGTGTGCTAATACTGTATTTCTTTTCTCATAAACACGTTGCCTATTATTTTTGTTTGCAGAACTTTCTATATCCCTGTCCTCAATTATTTCCCTATAGCCAAATAATGTATGGTATGTTCCTAAATTTATTACAGCAAAGCCTTATCATTGCAGGAGATTAACTCCTCCCTGTTTCCACGGCTCTGCCTTCCTCTTCCAGGTCTAGCAGGTACCTGCCACCAAGGCGGCTACCAGTGTACTCCTTCTGTACACTTCATTTTGCTGCTTGCCAGAAAAGTGACTTTTGACTGACTCACCAATGAAGTGAGCTTGGTATGAAGGCCAGCCCTGTCCATGGCTGAAATAAGAAATCACTGAAATGAGACTATAAAGACTATGAGCTTAAGAAAGTGGGCCGAAGCAATTTCTCATAAAAAAAGCGTTAATCATTTTGAAGATATACTCCTAAGTGAAATAAATAAGTCACACATGCGTAAATACCGAATAGTTTCCCTGGTGTAAATAATCTGCAACAATGCATAAGATTCTAATAAGATTACTGACATTTAGAAATGGGAAGAAAGGAGCTAAAGGTGTAGGGAAGGTGGGATGGGTAGGGGAAGAGTAAAAAGGGGAAAGAAAAAAATGTGAGAGAATGAAAAGATGAAAATAAAGTGTTTGTAGATGGGGAGGGGAGGAGGGGGTGAAGGGAAGGCAGGGGTAAGGGGAAAAAATGAGAATAAAGACTTGTCATGTAGAGGTACAAGATCCCAACAATGAATGTAACTGTACTGTATCCCTAAAATGTACCAATAAACTCAATTATAGCTGGAAAAAAAAAGGGTTAATCAGTCACCACCAAGGACAGAGCCACCCGTTTAGGTGCAAAAGTCACAACCAGTGCCTACTCTGAGTCCAGCTCTGCTCAGAAATGCACGTTCTCCAAGTCCATGCATCCACATGGGGGTCTTGGTGAACCGGGGTGTGTAGATCCAGCCTGATGATGTCACCATAGGTCAACTCTGCAGCCTGACCCGGAGTGTCAGAATAAGAGGCTTTTTAGTCTTCACAACAGTACAACAAAATCCCTTAGACCGAGCAACTTACATGGTAGAAACTTCTTACAGTTCTAGCAGCTGGGAAGCCCAAGATCGAGGTGCCAACATACTCAGTGTCTGGGGGTGGTGGCTCCTTGCTATGATGTCACATGGTAGAAGGGACAGCAACAGACACACCTGCTCCTTCTACCCTCGGAGAGTGCGCCATCTCATTGTCGTCCCGCATGAGCTACTCGTGTGTCACAGCGCCCTGCCTCTTCCTACAGAAAGGCTGGAGGGTTCAAGGAATTTTGGAAGGATCTGCATGCAACATTCATACCACACCACGGACCCTGGACCATAGGTGCAATGCTGCCCCTGCCCTGGTCCTCTCTCCCGTCGACCCCCGCGGTTTCTCACTGTCTCTCAGCCCTGTGCACAGCAGGTAGTGTATGCAGTGCTGTTCCCACCGCGCCTCTCAACCCTCCTCGCCTGGCAGGGGCAGAGCATCCACCTGTGTGCTAGAGGCTGGTCCTCAGAAACAGGAAGAAGGCTGAAATTGTTCCACATACTCACTGCATCTGCTTAATAGCTACTGCATAAAAGTAAGAGGCAGACTAGGTACATGACTGCTTTAGCCCTCAGGCAGGAGGCGCTCATATCTTTGTAGAGACTTATTTTTCTGGGGGAAAAAGCTTATCATCTCTAATATATACAAAGTAAAAAACTTCAAATTAATGACATTAACTATACATTCAGAAAACAATGACACCATTTATCGAGTTTAGTGAGTTATTTAATACATTACTAAACTTAAATACAAATTTCATAATATTTGGAACATTTGGTCACACTTGAATTTTTTTTTTTAACTTCACAAGGGCTGCCAAGCATCTCCCACAACTCTGACCGCAGTAATATTGACGACAGCAGCTGCACATGGGTTGGGGGGTTTACTCTTTTATTTTGAATAATATCAAAACATAAGCTGAAAGAATAGTTCAGTGAGTATCTGGGTGCATCTTACAAAGCTCACACGACTGCTAACCTTATAAGAATCTTTAAAGGTCTTCACAGGCTTGTGTTCCCTCTCCTGTGGCTCTTTGAAATTGTTTTTTAGCATCTCCAGTTTACAGTTGAAGCATGTGGGGCTCAGAGAGATCATTTAACTTCCCTTAGGCACAAGTCTGGTCAGAGGTCAGCCTGTGATTTCAATTTAGAAATTGTCTAGAGGCCCCGTTTGTTAGCCTACATGCAAGAACTCATTTGTTATTAGATGAATTACATATGGGCACATCTCTTATATATCACTTTACATCAAAATTA